AAATTTGTTTCCACTTTCACTTTACTTTGTTTTGTTTACCATGCAGTATGTTTGTATTATTTTTTTTTTTGCATTTGTACTATCATGTTTTTATTATTAGTTTTGTATATCAATGAAATGAGTATACTTATTTTTATTCTGCTGTACCAAAAAATCCATATAGAGCATTTGCAATGAGGCGAATAATATTTGTAGAACAGGTGAATGATATACGTTTAAAAATTTAATTATTTTAATTGCATTTGTTTAATAAATTTAAATAATATAAAACAGTTTTTTTTTTGTGATGCATTCGTTCTTAATATTTGCTCACAGCAAATGGATTTAGTAGCCAAATGAGCTGAAAAAACTTGCATACTTTTTGGGAAGTTTAATTTTTCATTTATTGTGGTCAATTCTAATTTATGGCCGATTGATTTGGTACTCTCCATATAAAATAATGTTTGATAATTTTTTTATATGGAAAAAATGTGCGACACCTTCAACAAAAAAATTTCCCAAAAATCAATGGTAAGTCCTAGCTTCCTCATACTTGCACTTTATTATACTAAAATAAAAAACTGCATACTCGAATTTTTTCTAGAGAGCGTAAATAAAAAGTGCAATATTTGAATGAAATTTTGCAGAATTTTCTTTAATTTTTCACAAGGTTTGGAACTTTTCTTTTAGGGGGTTTTGCTGTAGAATTAACCATATTTTTATAAAAAATTAGCGAAAAATAAAATATTTAAAAAAATAGTTGCCCGTATTGTAAAAAATTCGCTGTACCTAAACATTATTGACTGACTGTACATGGTTTTTATTAGACAACGAGCACTATTTTCTAAAAAAAAATAATAAACAAGTATTTTTTAAACAATAAATAAAACCGACTTCAATTGTCATAAAAATTTAAGAGCACCGTTAATTTCTTTATGATTCAATGATCGGATCTAAGCCGAATTAGTATGGGACCACCTCTCAGGTACCACCTTTTCTTTACAAAAATAATTATAGAAATCGGTTAATGTGGTTCAAACTTATGCGGTAAAATACATACATAAAAAAAGAAATATTCCGACGAATTCATAACCTCCCCCTTTTTTGAAGACGGTTAAAAATTAAATAAATAAGAAATTTAAAAACGATTTTTTTAAAGAGAAGCTTTTTTAGTGGTTAATAAATCGAGCCCCACCCCTTAATCTCGAAATTTGTTTTTGTGGAGTTATTTCTATCCTATTAAGTAATATACGTTCTAAATATGAAATAAATCGGACCATACATGCGGGGTTTCTAAATATGTATCTCGACTCCTGCGCCACCTATCAGGTAAATTTCTTTTCATGTAGGTTAAAAACAAAAAATAAAATAAAATAAAAAATAATACACAAAAATAAAAGATGTGTATTTATTTCATTCAATTTATCGAAAAGTCGTCGTCGTGGCATATTGCCGTTTTAGAGTTGAAGTGACAACGACGACGACGTTGATCAAAAATTTACAAAGACGTCGACGACTTCAACCGTAATAGGGCTGCACTAAACCTCAGTTTTAATCATAAAATGTATAATATTACTATCTCCGCCAAAACAAACCTAAACGCTTTTATTCTAATTTTTTGATTTTTTGAGTCATCCAGCTTCCAGCAAGCGATTGATATGTGTTTAGGGGAATACCCCAATTATAAAAAGAATTTATTTGCCGAAATATTTAATATCTCTAATTGCATCTGGATTGTCAACATCGAGCATTTTTGTTTATTAATGTTTTACTTGATGGTTTCTTTTGTTTATTACATACATACATATGTATACTTGCATATGTGGTTTTGCTGACCACTAACGAAATATTTACAAACACATGTCTGTAAGTATGTACCTACATTAGGATGGTCCGAAATAAGTAAAGTCGGAATTTTAATGCTCTCACCGCCTAGGATTGTTCTATATCGAAAAAATAACCCCTATTTTTTT